AACGTTTCCTCCCAGAACTGCTCAAACCAAACATTTCTTTTGTTTGTTGCAGGCTTGAGTTTGAGAAAATATTCTCTGAATTCCCTAACTTCGCTGTGATCCACCTGAAAAGTAATTGTTCCATTTGCAACTGTTTTTCCTGATGCCACAAAAGATCTTGTTCCCCACCCGTCACTTGCGACAAACTGCAGATACCCGATATCTTCTTTCAACTTCTGAGCAACTTCAAAGAAAATTTTTAGATGGTTGTCTGTCAACAACAGATACACAACCTTAATAGCGCTTTGCTTCTTAATCATCTGCAGTATGTATTCGTAGTCACCGGTTTTGGCATCCTCTGATATCGTCATGTCTATAGGGATGCAAATTCCTTGTTTTGTTGCAGAATCTCGAAAAAGGTCCGATGATCTTTGACCATAGTTTCCTTCTGAACTGATAAGTGCAATGTAATTCCATTTGAATTTCAACGCCAGACTCACCAAAAGCTTCACAGCGTTGTAATCTGATGGTACCGTACGGTAAAAATAGCCATGCCGGATGCGGTTTTCTAAATCCGGGCTTGTTGCAGCGTAGCTGATGGTATTTTTACCGAAGATGTTCATAATCGTTGCGGTTGTTATTGCATCGTCCGAATATTGGGGGCCTACAACGCCTTGAGAATGGTAGTTTGCCACTTGCACTAGAATATTGCGCAAGTAGAGCTTGTCCCCGCACGTATCGTAAATCCGCGTGCGCAGTTTCAATCCATGAAGTATTGAAGTATCATTGTTTATACGGTCTAACGCGAATAGCATGGCTTCGACAAACATAATTCCGTATTGAGGATCGATGATACCACAGCGTTTTCCAAGATTGCCCTTAAGATGAACATTGAATATTCCTGCGATCTTCACTTCTCCTACATCTTGATGTGAATAATACCACGCTAAAAGCAGTATACATTTACATTAGCAATCAATGTTACACTATCTGATTCGATCAATTATTATCATCAAGATATCATGTAAAAGCTGAGTATTTTGTGAAAAAAGTGAAAAAACAGTCGTCTTTGGGTGAGTCTTTAATTAATGCTTAGAGGTCGTCAAGTTTATACTGATTTGCAGACCAACAAGTCTTACAAAATGTGTAAGAAGTATGAACAGCAGGATAGGCTGTCAGCCGGATTCTGTGAATCTTGCAATGAATCTTAAATACGAAGATGAAATTCAGAAAAAAAGCAAAACGGTGACGAGAATCCAATGTAATTCAAAATAGATTAAACAAAACGAATACTAATATTTCGCCCTGTCATACGGGCCTTCATCAAAGTATATTCTTACAAAATTTGCACGTTTTAATAGATTCAGAGATTCGAAAAAGAAATTTCTAAAGGAGAGGGTTTGATTTAAAATGGGACCGAACACTAACGAGAATGGGCCTTTTTTATCTATTATCAATGATACTTGGCAAAAACAAATCTCAAATTTTATTTCTGTTGCGCTGGAGGCAAAAAGCATGACGATGTCAAACTGCCTCCACACCCGACATCACAATCCCGGATGTGGTCTTATGCATAACTTGTACATCTGGCCCAGTTCCTGTGTTGACACATATTGGCAACAGCTGGATCATCATTAGAACTTAGAAGAAGGTTTCCTAGCTTTTTACCTATACTCGAGAATATTGCTTTCTTCGCTTGCTTTGTGAGATCAGAGATTGAAACCCCTTTTTCCATCGGTGTCCTAAGTTTTGTATAATATCTAGATTATAAATAAGGGCTTCTGCTGTGAATTCAAGATTAGGAACTACTTGGAACATAGATGCGTCAGGCAAAGTTTCACTTCACAGTATACACCTTCAGCAAGATCATTAATGTAGAAAAGAAAAAAAAGAGACTCGAAAACGGACCCCTGAGGAACACCGGTTAAAAAATGCTTCTTAGAATATGCTTTCCCATCTAGAACTAGTCCCTGATTTCTGTTGTCAATAAAATTTTTAATCATTGTTTAGCTGAAAATTGCTAGGCTAACCCCATTTGTATGAAGGAGAAAATTCTATTATTAGCAGGAACAGACCTTTCTCTCCTGCATGTTGTGTTAGCTTCGAATTAAACTGGAATACATTTTTCTCAAATTCAAACAGCTTTTAATTTGGTCGACCATTTTGACAAAACTACTGGAGTATGATGTGGAAGATTTTTCCTATGATTGGCTCATGCTCATATTGATGTTCAATTTGTTTACATGATAAACCCTTCTGTGTTAATCTAAAACGGTTATTAAATATGATAAATATGAATAGTCTAAAAATCACAAGTTAATTACAAAATGAGTTATCAGGATGGAAATTATGCATATCAATGCTGTTAGCCCCTTATCCGACCAATGCGTTTTTTTCTCTTGAGTATCGTCCTGACAAAAACAAAGTTCTATTACCTACGAGAATCGTCTTGTGGATGTAAAAGGGTGTTAATAATGATTTTCATAAACGGATGTTAACATTGATTTTTCTACGCTTTCTATTGATACATTGTTATGCAATAGAAAAAAGATATTTGGTACATAATTGTTTACGCTTTTTGCAAAGTCTAGCTGAAGGAGAGTTTTCAGTTACTTCAATCTCTATGGCTGGAACTTAGATACCATAAAAGCAGAGTTAGAAAAACACTGAATGCAGTCACTTATTCAAACGCTCTGTGCGTACAGTAAGCTTTGCTGTTGTGCAAGCAAAAGAATAGAATTCACTTACATAGAGAGCCAATCAGATCTTTTACAAATGTTATCTTTAAGACAGGTGTATTTGATTTCAAAATGTTTGAGTTTTCAATATCTCTCTGTATTTTTTGTGTACTCCGTAACCTTCTTCGTTTTCCTATGGTACACAAACATTGTTCCTGGAGGGACAGGAGGATGGCTGAATTTGCCTTTGAAACTGAGTAGAGTTAGTTTTCAAAGACATTTGCCAAGAATTCTACCATTGACAAAGATACTAGCAATATAGACTAGAAATACAACTTCTAGAAATCTAGCTCTGTGAGACAAAGTTTTGTTTCAACATATTGCAAAATTCTTGATGTATGAATGATTATTTTCCCCATTTAAAACATGCTAAAAATTCTTTATCGTTATCATCTGTCCTCTTTCTACCCTTATCATAAAAAAGTTCTGCTCCTTTTACCGAGGTTTCACGATTGGCAAAAGCTGTAAATATAGGCAATCTTAATAAAATATTTCTTTCAGGAAATCCGTTTTGTGTTGAACAAAGAGAGTTTTTTGTGGCTGGAACGGTGCAGATCAAGTTAAAAAGCTTTAGAAGTGGGCCAGAATTCTCTGCAATTTTTATCGGAAAATTTAGATCCAGGATCTTCAGGGCTTCCCTTGACTGCAGCATATAAAGAACAAGTCCTTTTTGAAGCTACTAAAGTTTTCGTTGTTAACGTTAAAAAGATAATTCCCTTACCTGAACTGAAAACTGTAGAAAGAATGAGTATAAGCAACTTTATTATCATTTTGGCCATATCGTCTTGCTTTGCTTTGTCCCCGTGACCTTGAGATGGATACAGCTATGTGTAGAGTTGTTACAACGTTATCTCTTATCATGAGTAGTTTATATTGAGATGCTACTGATTACTTTCCTAGCCAACCATTTGTAACTGCATCTCTTCACAAAAGAGTCATTTACCGAATTAACTGTCGGTTTGGTATGAGGAAAACATCTTGTCTTTATCCACACACTCAAATTTTGCTTTCAACTGCCTAGATCGTTTGCATGATTTTCGCTTACTATTTACACAGCTTTGCCAGTTCCCTAAAAAATTCAATGGCTCATGCATCCGAAGTCAATATCTTTCCTACAATTTGTTTTTAAGTTTACCTTTACACTTTCGGTTGTCATTTCTTGTATCCGGCTCTAATCTTACTCCATAACGCTTTGAAAGAAAATACCTAATATTGCAAACGAAGGTAATCCAATACTTTAATAGAGGTTGCCAGGCAACTTCCAAAGAACGTCTAGAATCCAACTTTGCATTTGTGAAATTCATTGCACATTCAATAATAAGACAAAATAATAAATGTTGTTAAGCTTTTTAGGCTTGAGATAGACATCAGAATAAGAAGGCTCGAGATAGACATCAGCATAAACGCAAGACTGACCTAAAATGAAATAAGTACCTATATTACATACCTCCCTATCAAGGAAAATGAATCGTCCTCGATTCTTAAAGTGAATCTAATGAAAAATTAATTAAACGTCCAATGAATATTTTGTATCCGTAAAATAGAAATCGAAAAATCCCGTGATTGAAATAGTTGCCAGCTACTGTTTGGTTCGACTATGCATCTCTGGATGGTATTTAGGGTATGTGAACCATCGTCTCTATGAACAGTTGTTCGTTGCCTTCCATCGTAAAAACACATGCTCTCTCCACGTACAGATTCTTCAAAAGAAATAGTTTGCATATTTCCATGATATTCTAAAGGATTTATAAACTCTGTTTTCTGTTTTTAATAAAACGAGTTAAATAAGCCTCGAACAGTTTTCATGTCTTTATGAAGCACTTGAATGTCTTATTAAGAGCTTTTCAGTGAGGTTTTCGATTTGGTGGTAAAATGCAATAAAATGTAGCCAATCCAAAATCAATCCTAAAAGATTTCATCCTTTTAAAAGTATTTTTTGGTAAATGACTTAGATGTCTGTACTGAAGATTTTTCAGTAAGTTTGTGTGTTGTTTCAGTTTTTTGCAGTCACTGGGGTAATTATTTTTACTGGTTATTGATGTATTGCTTTAACAGTGACGGATCCAGGGGGTGCAAAGGGTGCTTGAGCACCGGTCAGATTGTCAAAGTACTGTTTCAGGTACCTGTTCCTGTGCGTGTTTCCGAAAAAAGCTGAGGATTTCTACTGATTCGATGTTTTCATTTATTTTGCATGAAAAATATCCTGTTATCTAAAGAATTTTCTTTTGTCGTGTTAATGTTTACAATCGTGGCATATTCACCGGAACAAAATTCTGGTAGAATGCAAGTGCTGACCAATTAGATTGCGGATGACAAAATCATCCTCCAAAGAAATCCAATTATTCAATGCTATTCCGAGCACCGGTGGGTTCGTAAATTAGAATTGTCACGAACGGTGCCAGCCAATCAACTCCTTTCTCACCGGTGCTCAGATCCAGCATTATCCAATCATTAGCTTTTTCACCGGTGTTCAACGTCATCTGAGCACCGGTCAAGACGAAATAGCCAATAAAAATTCAAGGAAATTGATGGATAGGGAACTGGCATCGGCTTTTGGGATTCGCGGTTGGTATTACGGGGTGCATGAACAGAAACGTTGCCTTAATATTTATGGCAAAAGAAAAGCCTGGTCAAAGAAATGATAGAGAAAGGGGCGTTGTGGAGTTTTCGAGTTTTATTGGGACGACAAACGCGCTGACTCGTTCACTGATTCACAGCTCTTTCCCGGAAGTGTAGCAAAGCTACGGCCTAAGATAGCTATCTATCAGGTAAGTGGTAACACACAATCGTTTTGAAAAATTGCAAGACATCAGAAAATATTATATGCATCTGGTTGAGGAATAGGGTGAGATGCCAGGTTGCGTTTTATTAGCCATGTTTGTTATTAGTTGATTTGACTTTCGCAAACGCGAATCAATGCTGTTTGCTTGAGGTAATTGACTACGACAAAGCGTTAATTGAAGTGTTGAGATATTCGCTTTGTTTTTTTACGCGAGTAATGGCATCGCAGCCCCTTTTGTGATTTTTCTAAAGGAAGAATAGTTCAAAGAGGCGTGTAAATGCCTGTCAAAATTTTTGGAACATCAACAAAATTTTTAACAAAACAGATAAATGAAAGAGAAGTAAAATTCATTTTTTAAGAACACAATTCCAAGCTGCAAAAGATAGCTTTCAACCAGTGTAACGAATTCCGTAAAACATTTTCTAAATTCTCATGAAATACATTGCCTTATTTTGTACAATACTTTCCTTGCTTCCACAGCCACTCTTGTTTACCGTATTCTATTCTATTTTTGGCCACTTTAGAGAGTGGGCTTATTGAGAAAAAGATAAAAATCCATCAATAAAAAGTTGAGCTTTGGAATTTAAACAATGATTGTCTTTAGAAAAATCAATCACACTTGTTATGGCCATAATAATTACAAGATTTCAAGTTCATCCGAGTCAAAATCCTAGTAGATTTGCTTAACATACTGGTGTGGCATCCTGAATATTTAAATTGTAAATACCTTCAAATGTATTTTTATGTAATTCTGTCAGTAGTTGCAGAAGAGTTTCCAAATTGAAACAGCATAGGTTTTATTCAATATATTTAAAGGGGAACTGAAGTGAAAAACGATTTTTTTACCACTGATAAAGGTTCCCGTGCTGATTCCAAAACCGTTTGAATTTTTTTAATACGTTATGTAGTTTTTAAGTTATTAAGTTTTTAAAGTCGAAATTTGCCCTCATCGATGGCGGAGCGAGAACGCGGTCGGACCACTGTGTCACGTGACCTTGTGACGTAAAGTGGTGGACACGAAGAGATGTTTTGATGTAATGTAGTAGTGAGTTTGATAAGGTTCATGACAGATAACAATCGTGAAAATTGTGATAAAAGCATGAAACCTGGTGAAAATATAGAATTCGGTATGCGTAACAAGATAGAATATAGAATCATTTTGGGAAAAAAACCCTTGTGCTATTTTTAGCCTGGGGTACTTGTGCCCAGTACTCAAAATACGTTACTATGGTAAATCTATTTCTGTTAACTATACAACCATGAAACTTGGCAAACCGACACAATTTAACTTGCTGAAAATGATAAGAATGGTCCCCATCCTCAGAAATACCCCTTGTGCTATTTTTAGACTGGGGTACTTGTGCCCAGTACTCAAAATACGTTAGTATGGTCAATCTATTTCTGTTAACTATACAACCATGAAACTTGGCAAACCGACACAATTTGACTTGCTGAAAATGATAAGAATGGTCCCCATCCTCAGAAATACCCCTTGTGCTATTTTTAGACTGGGGTACTTGTGCTCAGTACTCAAAATACGTTAGTATGGTCAATCTATTTCTGTTAACTATACAGCCATGAAACTTGGCAAACCGACACAATTTGACTTGCTGAAAATGATAAGAATGGTCCCCACCCTCAGAAATACCCCTTGTGCTATTTTTAGACTGGGGTACTTGTGCCCAGTACTCAGAATACATTAGTATGGTAAATCTATTTCTGTTAACTATACAGCCATGAAACTTGGCAAACCCACATAATTTACTTGCAGAAAATGATTGAGTGGTCCCCACTTCAGAAATACCTCTTTCGCTAGTTTTAGAATGGGGGTCCTGTGCCCAGCACTCAGAGGACATAACTATGGTTAATCCATTTCTGTTAGCTGTAGAGCCATGAAACTTGCCAAACCTACACAATTCGGTTTGCTGAAAAAGACAAAAGTAGTCCCCCACCTCAGAAATACCAGATATAGAACATGATATCAAAGCATTTTCTGGTATAACTCCAGGCACAAAAAACAATTCATACCAGGATGTACATAAAGGAGAAGGATTTAAAGCACAACCATTAAATGATGTATATGTTTCCAAGTTTATTAAAAGACCTTATCTTAACAAAAGATATGTCAGGGTTTCTATCTCATAACTGTTCTATGAAAAATGTTGAGTTGAAGCAAATTTCAGAAAAATAGAACCATTGGGCACCAAAAAACTTCATTCTCAAAATTTGAAAACAGTGTATCTAAACAACAGGCAGTGACAGAATACATTAAAAGAACATTGTACTGTGAAGGTAAAACATTTTCTTCTGATTATGTATAAAAAATGTTACCAAGCAGGTGGTACAGGACCATTATTGTAAGAGAAAAACTTTATCAAATCCAAACTATTCTACACATTTTGATGTGAGTAAAATATCTTGAAAAATATACCTTGGGAATCTTGAAAATATCAAGCCTTGCTCAATCCCCAACCCCTCCCCCCCCCTTGATGTGACTAATCTAGTGATTTGGCCTAGGGCTGACAAGATTTGGCCATTGCCCCACTAGTTTTAACAAATTTCTAACTTATAACATGACCCCACTAGTTCTAAATTTCTCTTCTTGCTATTATGAACTGAAAGTCTGGTCCCTTTGAATAACCCCTGTATATAACCCTGTACTCCACTGTATATGTAGTAGGTAGCTGAGTTTTGCATTTTCATTGTCTCTCTGCAGAATTTTGAAACTCTTGTTATCTTTGACTAAAGTTCTTTTCTTTACATTTTGTGATAAATTCATACTTAAAGTTGTCCAGTTTTTCCAGCACAAATACCCAAAAACCAGCAAACCATCCATTGATCGGCCACTGTTTGTAGATACCTAGCAAAATGGATATTAATTGCAGTAAGATTTAATAATACTTGTCAATGTACAAAAAACAAGCCAGTTTTTAAACCAAAGTGGATTAGGTCGACCTGTTCCGTGCTACACATCAAACTATGTATAAACGTTTTATATCAAAGCAAATATTTATTAAATTGTAACATGTAATAATCCTTATTATTTCAGATTTTAGAAATGGAAAGATTATAATATGTAGCCTACATTCTCAGTTGTATCTTACTTTTTATAAGGAAATAAGGAAATTGTGTTTGAGTTGTTCTTGCCTTCATTGTCAGAAAAGAGACAAAGATCGACGTACCATTGATTTACTTCCTCATTTCTACCGACAAAACGAGCACGTCGCGGGAGATAATTCATCCTCAGCCTCTGGGATCTCATCGGGCCTAGGCTAATCTTCATCGCCACTTTCGCAGTTCCCGTTCGCCCTTGGTAGGGCAAGTACTTCACCACCACATGCTCCAGATTCATCGTCGCTCGATCTTAAGTCTGTTGTCATTCCTGAAGAGCTGTCGTGAAAATTGCGAACTGAAATTCTAACCACTAACCGAATTCCCTCCCTCCGATTCACTCTACTACCTACTACAATGTTGTTTTCGTTGCGATCGGGGCACGTGTCCACGACTTTACGTCAGCGCCTGAAACTTGTCTCCAGACCTCTCCGCCACGGAAATGGAGAAATTTCACACTTCGCGTTGTGAATGCAGGAAAACGAAAAGAAAAACACTAATTTCGTGTCGATATTCGAAATCAGCACGATGAAAACTACTAAATAATTGATTTTCATTTTTCACTTCAGTTCCCCTTTAAACTGATTACTACTGTAAAGATTTGCTGGTCTCTATATGTTTTCTAAAATATTTGTGGAACGCTCATTGGAGAGTGGTTGTTGATTAGAGAAATTTTGCTCAAAAGGGGGGCGTGCATTAGAGAGGGATGCTCATTGGAAAAAATACGCTACTTAACATCGCCACCGAAAATGGGCGTGGTCAATTTGTTGGCTGTGGTCCCTTAAACTAAGCACCGGTCGAAAATTTCCTGGATCCGCTCCTGGCTATAACATATTCTTGTTAGACTTTTTAGAAATTTCATATTTATCTAATAATGATGGCAGGATAAAGATCTTTGAGATGCAGTTTATTGATGTGAAGTATTTCGTAAATGAAAAAGAAAATCAAATTACATCCGAGTAGTATTTCTATATGCCTCTTCTTATATATGAGGAGAAGAAGGTTTTTGTGATCATCGCTGCCTATACCTCATTAGCTCATTACCATTTTGGTACAAAGTAAGCTAAAATGCCGGTTGAACAGCATTCATATCATCAATACTTGTTTGCTAAAAGGCTATAGTTCTATCTGTTTCACTGTCATGTCACAACCAATGACATGTTTAACTGTGTAATTCATTTTTATAAGAAACTGAACTCGGGATAAGCTCGCACTTTCTTTTGTTAATCTATGTGTAAAAGTTTCTTAAAGTTTCCTTAAATACCAAAACATTTAGAGATACTTTTTAGAGAAATAAACATTTAATGTGAGACAACACGAAGCAGAACACCTACAAAGTCAAAAGAAACACTTCTTTTGTTCATCTTTGTCAAACAGAAAATTGGTGCCTAATCGCAGAGAAGAATCAT